TCCCAAGCTTTTAAGAAGTACAATTTCCTAAATTTTCAATAGAACAGATAAGAGATTTTAATTTAAAAGCTAGGTAAATCGGTGAAACATTAGAAGGAAATGGTTTTAACAGAGTAATAAGGCCTCTGAAAATAAATGCGACAATTATTGAAGCAATAAACCGCGGAATTTTTATGAAATGTCTAAGACGTTATATTTGCTACTCGCATAAGTTAACACTTGCATTTTACAAGAGGTTATTAAATGCGTATTCAGAAGACTTAATTAGATTTTATTAGGAACTTTATATGTTTACGCTTATGTTATGCTAAGCTTCTAGATTGCCATGAATCTATATAATTGTTTTTATTTTAAGATGTATTTAAAAGACGGCTCCAAATTTATGTGAGGGAAGCCAGCAACAAAGTTGAAAAAATCTGATGTGTACACCACATGACTTCCTTGTACGGAATATTAAATTATAAGCATTTTTTCTTGCATTTCATTTAAACTTATTGGATTTAATTAAATCTACTTCGCCGACAGCGCTAATAAACCACAATAAAATAAAATGCATTCTTTAAAAATCTCTTTGTTTAAACCATAGGACACTCTGGCGCTAGGTTCACTTAAAGTATTATATTCGTTCATATAATAACTCGAATGCCAAAATTTATATCATTTAAAGAATATAATTAAATCGTTGCCACATGTTCTATTCAAAACTATATAAGATAATTAGAAATGTATAAAAGAAAAATAACAAAAAAAAAGAAAAAGAAACAGTTTTTCACAGCGATTGAGTATTTCTCATTTCAATAAATTGAGTTCTCATTCTCGAGAAGACAAAAATACATAAAAACTCAAAATATCTATATTAAAAATTACGAAGAAAATCTAAAAACACGTATTTCCTCGAAAAAAATTCCAGAAATGATTAAGCAGTATTTATTGGCATAATAAAGAAGGCGTTATATTTTGTGCAAGCTCGGTTCCTCTAGATTGGCAACAAATCCACTATCCTGCTTGTTTCAAATGTAAACATCAATGGGCGCCATTAAAAAGGCTTAGCGGCATTAAAAATTTTAAAATTGCTGATAATTCCAAAATATTGCACATAGATTTACTAAAGGCATAAAATCTTAACGGAAGATAAAAACAACAAAAAAATATTCAATCATTTTAAAGCAAAAAATGTACAATTTACAAACATATAAGAGTAAAAAAACTGAGATCACTGAGCGGGTAACAGGTGGAATATATATAAATATATTTATATACGTTTGGTGCGGCCGATTGCAACCAAAATACCAGGTGCACGTCTGCATTCCCTAGATACAAAATTTCTACGTTCTGAGGCTACTCGTTTTTGAGTGATGCGAGATACGTACATACGTTCGTACAGACGCCACGAAAAATTCTCTTTAGAATTCCTTTCAAAGCAGTTTTATAATTTTTTGAAAGAAAAGAGTATTTTATTCTGTCCTTACGTACAGGTATCACGCAAAAACATCATTAAATTGCATTCGATTGCAGTCAAAATTGATATTTCGTTGAAATATGCTGCCTGAAACTTTTCGCTATTACAATACTTCCTTTTTACTTCGTACAAGGAAATAAAAAGCGAATCTGTCATAGATAATACAAAATGTCTTTTATTGCTAAATAAAGTAAATAAATATGATTATATATATTATGTATATACGTGTAAAATCAAGACCAACCGCATCAGTACATTTTGAGCTCACTTATTTAGATGAAGTGTGGCATTTGATATGCTTTTTACATGTAAATGTATGCTGATACGCATGCAGCGTACGTATACATATTTTGCAAAGTTTGGAAAAATATTTTTGAAATATTCATCAATCATTTGAATTTCGCGTTTTATTGTGTCTCCTTTAAGGTAATGTATAGTTCATACATTATCTAAAACTAGATTCATTCTTAAATTGTCGCTTTAGATAATGAGGCGTGTTTTCTTGAGATGACATTATCTATAAATAAGGTTTCTGATTCTGTTTTGCTGTTAAGCGCGTAATTTGTAATTCTCATTATTTATCAAAATAATAATTTGTAAATCCCGTTATTTTGATAATCTCATTATTTACACAGATTTTAAGCAACATCAATATTCGTAACCATCGGGTAGCATTACGACAGAAGAGTACTATATTTATGGCTTGATAAGACAATAACATCAATATTCGTAACCATCGCGTAGCATTACGACAGAAGAGTACTATATTTATGGCTTGATAAGACCTTAAATTATAACAGAAGACTGCCACTCTTTTTCGTATAAATATAAAAGACATTTGTCAGATTATAAGTTTTTTAAGTGAACTATTCGAAGCACAAGGCGCTTTCTAAATCAAATAATTTTGACAAAAGCACAATTATTAAAGAAGAAATAAAAATTAACGACGAAACAAAACACTTTTGTTTGACTTGTGTGTGATTATCGTAAAGTCTCGACGGCTATCTGTCTAAGGGAAGGGATGTCTTCGTGAAGGACTTTCTAAGGAAAACTGGCTCGTATACACGTTACACATGGGAAAAACCACGAAAACGCCCATGCAGCCAGCCCGTTCGCGGGTTTCGAACCTCGGACCAAACTACCAGTGTTCAGCGACTTTACCGCTCTGTCGCTGATGGGCTTTGTTTGACTTGTGTATGACAACAATTACTGAGATGCATATATAAATCCTGTGCGATAAATACTTATCATAAAGATAACATAGAAAATGCAATATTAGTGATAATAATACCCAAGTACACTGAATCTATTGATCAGAGCTGAGGTAGAGGACTCCAGTAGCAATTCCTATTGAGATAAGTTATCAAATATTGCGTTTTTCATACTCTATTTATTTTTACCAGATAACTGCTAAAAAAATCTTATGATAGCTTAGTAGAACAAATCGACAAATTTTTATGACATGAATCGTGAAAAGAAGGAATACATTTAAATGCACCAGACACGTTTTTCCCTTAATGAAGATTCACAATTGTTTTTTTGGTTTTAAAGTGCCAAGCTTAGATTTATAGAGGTTCATATAATGAAACATTTGACTTGGGCTCTTATTTTGTGAAAACTTCTGAAGTGTCTTCAAATCGCAATCATATACATTTCAATAATTATAAATAAAATCTTTGATTAGCTTTCTTTAAGTATTGCTTTGTAAATGCAAAGTAAAATGCATCACGTAAGATACACACACTGGACAATGAAAATTAGAAACCCCAAATCAATATTTTATTCGACCCCCTTTTGCAGGGAAAACTGCTCTAATTCATTTGAGCATTGAGTTTACATGCTTACGGAGTGCATTTACGTCCAGAAAATACCATGCACTGCTATGCAGCTTTTTAGATCATGTAAATTCGATGGAAGAGGAGAGTGCTATCGAATGCGTCTTTTCACCATATCCCACACATTTTCTGTGGGGTTACGATCCGGGCTATGCATTAGCCAGGGAAGGTTTTGGAAGTGGGACTGGTTTTGAACATTTCTGGCACGATGTATAGTTACATTATCACCCATGAACTATCTATCTGTCGTCATCAAGGTAAAAATGTAACATTGCAAGGTGCACTTGATTTGCCAGTATATCTAGGTATCTCATGGCTGATTGTTTACCCTCGAGGAACACCAAGACACCGCTTCCCTGTCAGCAGAATATGCCCCATATCATGATACTCTCATCCGACCCTTGCACAGTGCAAGTAAGGCAAGATGGATTCATGGCTTCATAGGGTTCTCGCCAAATTTGAAGTCTTCCATTACTGCAAAATAAGGTGTAGCATGATTTATTCGAGCACATTACCCATTTCCAATCCTCAGATGTCCAGAGTCATCTTTCCTGACACCACTGAAAACGAGTTCTTGCATGTTCGGCAGAAATGAGTGGTTTTTTTCACAGGCACCCGGCTATGCATTCCTATCCTCTGCAATTCTCTGCGCATGGTTCGAGCTGAAATCTGTTGGGAAGATCCTTGGTTAACGATCTGTGTTAGTTGACGCAAAAGGTAGAGTCTCTGTTCTGCCGTACAATTCGTCGGAGATGACGCCGATCACTCTCTTAAGAAACTATGCTCGAACCAGTTACGTCTTCTAGAGAAGGACTGTGGTCTTTTTGGAAACCTTTGCTATGTCTGCTTTTGAGAACCCAGTGAGATTTGCTGTCTTCAAAATCGAAGTCCCTGTGCTAAATGGGCACCGAAAATAAGCCCTTTTTGAAATGGTAAAAGTTCTGTCGTTTTTCTCATTTTACTTCATTCATCATGAAAAGCAATCTTGCCCCATAGTCATACTAGTATTCTAACCATGTGTAACCCACGTCATAAAAAAAATTGCATCCTTCATCTCTAGCACGCATTCAAAGTTATAGTTAGCTCTTATAATGAAAATACAGATTTATTTAATTCCCGATTTAAAAATAAATGGGAACATAATAGATTTAAAAATAAATGGGAAACTTATGCACAGTCCTTTATTTTGGGGCAAAATCTGTATATTCAAAAATTGTTACTTGGGATATTGAAATTTTGGTATTTCGTATTTTTACTTATTTAATTTAATTTTTTTTGCCAGAATAATTTCATTAGAGACCTCTGAATTTTTTAAACAATTTGATGAATTTGTTCATTTATTAGCTGTTTTGTAACTTCTTTAGGATACAAAATTGATCAAGAAAACCCATCAGTTATAAAACTAATATAATAGAAATAAATAAGGGTTGGCAAAACGTTAAAAAAATTACAGACCTTGAGTTAACAGAATCTTATTTTAGTGATTTGGAGAAATTCATTTCTTACCATATTAAATATTTCATGTATTTTACTCATAGAAAAGAAACCATTAACACCTTCAATAATCACGTAACTAAAATAATAGAAAGTCGATAAAGAAACTCCGAATTCTCTGTGATTTTGCAATTTGCCCAATGTTGGACCCATAACGATTAACGAATTTGAAGGAATCAAAGATATTACTTAACATATTAATAGCATCTTACCTGCAAGAAAAGTGCCAGTTGCGAAGGAAGAGCCCACCCTTCTGGCAATCTCTGCACAAGGACAGGCAATTCTACCCAGAGACCCGTCATTGCGATCCAGGATCCTAAGCCAAAAAGAGCACTCAATAAATCTACTCGGAAATCTCGTCGCTTCAGATCATACATCTTCAATCCACCTGACACTGTACAAACTGAAAAGAAGAAACAAAAATTCAGGAACCAAATCCAGTCACTAAAAGCTTTTGTATATATAAAAATAGTGTATAGTAGTATGGTACGTAGAACTGATAGGGTGAGACTTCAATTAAAATTATCTTCAGTTGTGTCAACTGATACATTTTGGTCACTCTTACGTATACTTGCTATCTGAATACACGAATACCCAGTCTCCTGTCAAGAACTTATGCTAAAACCAATGCAATAGTTCTTAGCACAATGCAAGCGTATGGCTTATACCAAGGGTTGGAAACAAGGGGGAATTTCCCAGTTTCAGGGCATGCAGTGTATTTTCCTAATTTAGGAAAGGAGCGGAGCAAATGATCTTTTGGTTGGTGTCTTGTTCTTTGAGAAGTCAAATGGCTCCATACGTGGGAATCACAACTTTTGCCAGTTCCACAATCTTTTCATTATACAGCTCTCCCTGCAAAGGAAATTTCTTCAAGCTTTCAACAGCTTCAGGTATTGCCGGACAGGTGAAGATTATATTCTGGAGAAAGCTCCGTTTCAGGGCAGTTTTTACAAGTTCTATATGATCTGGCATCATCTTCATTAATTGTCATTCCTCTAAAATGGCGGGCTCTATTTAGTAATAGTCTCTGTAATTTCTCTGTTTGCATCAATCTCACATATCTGATGGTCGTTCTTGACAGATTTCTCTTTGAATCTATATCTGGCAATGATATTAGCATCTTTAAGAGTGACATGTATTGAGTTGTTGATATTTCTTGCCCTTTTAGTCAGGTCATCGGCTGCCTCGTTTTCAGCGATTCCAACATGTGCAGGTATCGATTGCATAGTGCATATCTTTCCCATTTGGTTGATTATTTCTAGGTGTTGGTGGATATCCTGGGTGAGTTTTGAATGTCCTTGCAATATTGCCTCTAGGGCAGCTCATGGATCTTTTTCTGATTGTATTTGGATTTTATAATTTCCCATTGCGTGGTACAACACCATAATCAAATACAATATTATTTCCTATTTAATCCCACATTACAGTACTCATTTCCACCCAGGGAACACAAATATAAATTCAATTGCTTAGAATTATATGCAGCTGGATTCAGCATTTATATAGTAAGACAGATTACCTGAAAAACAAATTCGCACCAAAAACAATAATTAATATATATGCAAAGATAAAAGTTTGGTTCCGAAAGCAAAAATGTAATAAAAGAAAATAACAATATTTGATGTGGAAGCCATATTACTTTCTTGTAAGGCCTATTAAATTTTACACATTTTATTCTCCATTATATTCTTTATTATTTAAACTCCATATCCTCGAATTTCGTTACAGATATATTTCTCATTCAATCAGTCCAGTTCTCACTCCGAGGTAAGGCAAAAATACATAAAAACTGAAAACATCTTCCATTAAAAATTGTAAAATACAAAAAAAACGTAAAACACTAATAGAGTTAAAGAACATTTTACCATTGAAATTAGAGTTTCTATGCAAAAACAAGCAATCCGGATAGCAAAACATAATTCTCGGTGCAGAAAATTGAAAGTTTACGTTTAGTCCCACTCCGCAAAAAGGCACTGAAGTTGGTGCACAAATTGACTTAATTCGCTGTTCTACTAAGAGTTCCAAATGTAAACAAATGGAGGCTTCGTTAGGCTTAGTAACATTTAAACAACTTTTAAATTGTTGATAATTCTACAACTATTGCAAGCAGATTAACTAAAAGCATAAAAACCTTAACCGGAACAAAAGGATATCATAATCCAATCACATTTAAACCAAAAAATGCACAATATACCAACATATAAGAATGAAAATACTGAGCTCATGAGAGACAGGAAAAAAAAAACTTAAAATGCTGAGACATAAAATACTGCTCATAAAATATTGAGACGGATAACAGAATAGGAATATATATACATATAGTGCCGCCGATTGCAACTAAAAAGGGATGTAAAAATTTAGATGTTATAGCAGCCTCATGTACAAAATTTTAATGAGTTATTCAAGATACATACAAACGTCATGAAGAAAATCTCTTCTGAATCCGTTTAACTTCCTTTTGCAATCCCTTTTATAATACAAAATTCTTTACTCTGTCTGTACGTACAGATGTCACGCAGAAACATCGTTCAAATGGATTCGACAGCGGTCAAATTGGATATTTTTGTTGAAATATGCTACTCAAAATTTTTTGAGATTATAATCCTTCCATTACTTCATACAAGGAAGTAAAAATGTTGTTTTTACAAATAAAGAATATTAACATCTTTAACTAAATTTTAATTCTGTTTTTAAAACTCTTAATATACTTTTATTAAGCAAACTGAAAGCAATAACAAAAATATATTAGCATGCATAAAACAAATAATCTTTCAAAAGGAAATAATATATCATTCAGAATAATAAATGCTGTATAAAAACGTAACTTAAATATATCCTTGTTGATCACATTTTGTTCTTTATCATTGATATCTTTGTTTTCCACGTACAATGAATTTTGCACAATTTTTTCATAAATATCATCATCATCATCATCGATATTGCCGGCATATTGCTGCTTTTATGCAATGTTTCCGGCTCATGATACTTAGGCCCAAAGGGCACATGACGGTAGAAAGCAATGACAATTCATAAATATATTAGCGCATTAATTTAATTATAATTTTACTGTATTTTCTGAGTGGTAGTAACAGAGATTTGTTTTTTAAAATGCCTTTGAAGTAACAAAAAAAAGTAAGATTTTAATGAATAAAAGCCTGTATTTTTCTTGGTTTCGTAGAATAAAATGTAATATGTGGAAGTTTTCACAATATAATTTCCATCACGCAATATGCGTACGTTCAAAGACAGGTATACTTCAGCATTTAAATATGAATGGTAATTTTATTATAACAAATATTTTATCAGTGCAAATATTTTAATGAATTGAATGTAGATGCAGATTTCATAGACGGTGGCTTTTGAAACATGTCGTATCAAAATAAATACTGTAAAAATAAAACTGGATTTTTTTCGAAACGCTGTGAAACCAAGATCGGTATAGAAACAAACGTCTTAAAACAAAATTGTGAGCCTTATTTTATTTTATATAACTGAAAGAAAAAATAATTAAAAAGACACTTCTCCTAAAATGTATGCACTTTACTTACCGAGTAAGAATATTGTCTGCAGTAAGACGAAATAATGTGAGAAAGATATTGCATTTACATGCACATAAAATGCGTCAAGTTACAGCTTATATTTAAGCATTTGAAATATGAAGCGCTATGCTTTAAAAATATTGCTAAGCTGAAACACACGCAGCTATTAAACAGAGAAGAGAAAATGCATAGACATTACGCATACCGCATGACGTTGTAATTCCTTGGACCTGTAGTGTCATCAGCCTCGTGTCGGACAGGATATGACACAACATAAAATGAATTAGAGATTGATTCTCAATGTTAAATTTATTTTGTAGCACAGATACTTTAGAACATGATCTTGGCCATTGACTTGGTAGCTTAAAAGGCGTGGTTTAAAGGGCTTTTTAACTCGACAAAGTAGGAAATAATAAGAGAATTAATTGTTTAGTTAGCTGATTAAAAAACTAGTCTTTTTACCAAAATATTCCCGATTTTAAGGAAAAAAAGTCTTATTATCAGCTTTCTAAAGATTATTTTTAATTATATAATAATTTCAGAATTATAGAATTTTATAGCTACACACTGTAATCATGTATCAATAATAATGTATCAATTATGGAGAAAATTTCTCGAAAAGTATAATTTCACTGGCATCTTCTTTTTTTTTTTTTTTTTTTTTTTTTTTTTTTTTTTTCATTTTGCATTAGTTTTTGGGTGTGTATATGAGAGCCAAAATAAAATTTCTCTAAAAGGCCTGCTTTAGATTATGAAAATTTTTGCCTACTATATTTCTCCCTCAATGATTGTCTATTCAGTCTGCGAAGTTTTGCATTTTATAGGTAGATGCACTATTGTGCATTAACCTATAAAATGCAAAACCTATAAAAGCAAATTCCTATAATAGCAAATTCTTTCTAACCATAATAAATTTCCATCCCAAAGAGCTTCTGTATTCTATATTATAAACTTACATTAAAAAATGAACATGACAATGCAAAAAGCTGTTGTAAGGTAGTATATTTTTCATTTATTATTTATTTTTCTGCATCTATTTAGGTGATATAATTACAACGCATGGACAAAAATATTCTTGCCGTTTGAAAAACCCAATATAGCCTTCTTTGAAATGAATATTTTGCTGTAGTGTTGTTGTCATTAATTCTAATCTCACATGTCCGACCTCATCAAAAGAAACCCACGGAATTTATCGTGGCAAAGAGTACAAGATTACGTATGTCGTTCCCAAGAGCCTTGAGCACCATATAGGTGACAGCATAATTTTTCCCAGTTCCATCCTAATGTTGAGAGAAAGCACCCCCTAGGATGGATCCTAGGGTCTCCTGCCCCTCTTCCCCTATCAACAAACCACACGAGATGACTTTCGACCCGCCATATATTTAGAATGCTGCCATGCCGCAAAAACGCATATTTACATTCATACCTTCTCCGCGTTTCTAGTTTGAGGCCTTTGATACGGCAGTCAGCGTCACTAACCATTACCTCGTCTGGGCAGCAAAATATTTAATAAAATCAACATCAATTTAAAGTTGAACTTTGCCCAGAAACAACTTATTAAGCCTATTTTCCTACAGATCACTATTTTCAGGTGTCTTCCCTTAGTTTGAATTCAAGATTTTCCATCTGCCAATGAATTTATTACTAGGTAACTCAGTGACACATTTTTCATTACAGTTAGTTTTCCTTGTGAATAGCGTAAATATGCTCCAGTTTTCTTTAAAACGCGTTGTATCCCTCTACACAGGTAGGTAACCGTTGTGTTTTTCATAATCAAATAATTCAATATTTTCGATAAAGCGTCTGTCTTATGGATCCCGTTCTTTCTCAGTTAGGTTCTCCAACTTATATTGAGGCTCTTCTAACTTCTGTTCTTCAGTATTTGTGGATGTAAAGATGATTAAACTTCTTGAAAGAAAAAGAGCATGATGAAAAATTTGCTGCTCTCTTCTGGAAGACATTCAAATTTAGGAAAAATATTTGGGCAAAGATGCAGCATTATTTTGCGACTTTCCAAAATTTCAAAACCGCTTTCCGCATTCAAAATCCTTTTTAAACCACTTCTCTTTCAGCGAAAATACAAAATAATAAGTCAAAACTAAAACATAACGATAATAAACTTACAATTATTTTCTTTCAGTATAAGATAAGTAAGAAAAATGAATCTCAAACATGAGAACTGAATGCAGGGAATCCAGAAACTCATGTTACTCAAAAATATATCTCTTCTTAAAATTATATTCAAGCGATATAAGCAATAAATATTTATAGCACAGCTAGAAAATCATAATACATAAAATATATTTATATATATATATATATATATATATATATATATATATATCATAATCTATATATATGCATATCGTATTATCTAAGTATTGTCGTATACGTGTTTTGATAATTTTCCAGTAATATATTATAAGCTATAACTGATGTTAGCTATTTAGAAAATAACGTAAATTGTCTTTCATAATTTCCAATAATTACAAAGAATTTTACTCAACAGTCATTTCGAAACTCAGAATCTGCATCACGCGGTTAACTTTTGAAAACCAAGTACTTTCTAGAGGCATAGCTAATTTTTTTCGCTTTTTAATTCTCTGCACTGAGTTCACATAAATAGTATCAATACATTATTTAGTCTTTCGTATATGTATGAAATATTATTTTGCTTGAATACGTATTATTTTAACTTTGATATGCAAAGTAAAACGGAGTTACTCTTTATATGTAAAGCAGTGTCATATAATTGTGATATAATTTAATTTATGAAGGAAACATTGCAATCTTTGAGATTCTGATAAATCAGCAGTAACAGTAGCTTGAACAGGATAGATATAGGTTCGAATAGCAGTCAGTGTCAACGCTGATACATGCGACGGGTTTTTACATTTAAGGAAATAAATCAGAATATAAATTTTTACATACTGAAATTAACCAAACTGATGTCAACTAATTCACTACAATTTTAACCTGAGCAATGTACTACAATGTAACGAAAATAATGAAACATAAAAAAGAAACAAAAATATTTACCTGAAAATAATTCTAAGTTTAATGTTACAGCATGAGAATTTTTCCACGTATAGGTAAGTATGAGTCAGTTTTCTTTAAAACGTCTTCCACAAAGTCATCCTTCTTCTTAAGCAGATAGCCTTTAGTGTACTTCACTCAATTCAATTAAGCAAAAAAGCAAATAATTACAGCATTCACTACCAAGCAGAATTGTGTTTCAGAAAGGCAAATAACAAAGCAAAACAAAACAAAAAAATGCAGGACTGCTATCGCCAAAAGGTCCAATAGAGCAACTGTTAATGAATTCACTGTATTAGAAATGACAATTAAAAAATTTTATTCACTGCAAAACACAGATATCATACTTCAGTGACAGCTGATATGTAAATATGTCGTAAATTTAAACTTGAAAGTGACAGCCATACCATTTTGGACCATATCATAAAACTGACTGATAGAAGATATTTCACCCTAAATACTGATGGCAATAATTTCAAATCTTTTCTTATAAATGTGCTGACAAGAATAAACATAAATATCAAAAGGAAAAAAATTCCCTTATCAAAAGAGAGCACTGTAAACAATGAATTATTTGCTCGTGATGACGAGCATATCAAAGTTAACTGGCTCTTAATCTCTCATTCATTGATAACTTTTCTTAAATGATCACGTTTTTATTATTTGCACAAGATCGTATGAAATGTAGAACTACAGAAGCCTGTTACGGAGATAAACCCATTTCGGATACCCCTTGCAACTAGAGTGGTGTTTTAAAATTAAGCAAATTTTCACATTTGGTTTATTCTCTTGTAGAGTCATTAGGTTATTTTCATGCTGGAGACGTGAAAAATGAGCAATGCCCTCGCCGAGACTTGAACCTGTACCGCTCGAAATACGCACCGAATGTGCTAACCGTTATACCACAACGGCATGCTGAAAGAAGGGAGAAAATACCTTATATACTCCCCCTTTTAAAGGGTGACTGAGGAATAGGGGACACAATCGCCAAATCCTGGCGGTAAAGAATCATCATCCACCATCTTTTAGTTCGAGCACCACTGTAGGTTTATTAATTTTGTTTTCGATGTCAGGAAACTGAAGCAATGCCCTTGCCAGAACTCGAACCTGGATCTCTCGAATACGCGCCAAGTGTACTAACCGTTATTACATCAAAGCATGCAGATAGGAGGGAGAAAAAATTTATAAATAGATTTTAATGAAATTCAGTATGGATATTTTAATATAATACAGAATCATATTCTATACAAAAATCATGGTACACAAGCATGACCGTGGACAGTCGATTCTACTCTTGCAACTTCAGGTTCTAGGAGAGAAACCATGAGTGCAATTGCCCCCTCCCAAAAGCGACCCCAAAACGTTCTATAGGATTTAGGTCTGGGGATGTGGCTTGAAAGGTCATTTGATTTTTATCTTCAGTTCTCTTAATTTTAATCATATTCTATTATTTTTTAACATAAGTATATTTTAGGCAGTTAGGTTTGATAAATTTATTAAAATGAAAAAGAGGGTTATTTCGCTGAAGTTTTGAGCAAAGAGAGGTACACGAAATATCATTAAACAAAAGCATATGCGCCTTTTATTTACTCATCTGTATTATTATGGTCGTTTAATGTATTTCGTATAAAAGCATGGATGATTTTTATTTGAATTTTTCTTGTAGCAACTGTCAGCAGCTATCCCATGTCAGAATTGTTTGAGTGGTATATCGAATGTGTAGATTTATTTATTTACTTAAAGTTAAGTAAAGAAATACTTAGCAAATTACAACGAAGGTCTGTCAGTTTTGAACTTTGAATAACCTTCTATACAAATCTACTCTTCTAAAAATGTATAAGATAAAAGTATTAGCTGCTAATAAACACTTTCGTGTAAGTATGAAGTAACTTATTTTAATTGATATTATTTTTTTTCCTTTTTAAATGCAAAATATTTAACGCCTTTTTTGCAAATCAATGCTGATCGGAAGATCATTCCTCAACCAATTCTTCTCATTATTGTATCTAAATTTCTACAGTAAAAAAAATTACTATACGGCATGAGAAATCTGAGTATAAGTTTCATATCCAGTTCCATAAATATTCTGCTAGAGTGTTATTAACATAGTTAGATGAGCATTAATAATTTTTCTCAAATAATGCGAAAGCCTTGCTTGTATCTCTTGAACTTCCGTTTCAGTAAATCTATAGAAAAAAATAAGAAATATTAAAATATCATTCTTCGTTTCATCCGTAACCGAAAGGATAACATTTCTGGAAACTATAGCATTTCAACTCAGATTCAAATCCCTGTAAAAGGATTGGCTGCGCAGAAGCCTATTGTATAAAGCAAATTAGAATCAGTTTCCTTTAGACAGTTTTGCGGGAAGACATTCCTTCCCTTAGCCAGAAACTTTTATGTGCTTTGTCATAATCTAAAAACAGTTAAATCTACCCCCGGAAAAGGATTTATTTCATGGTTGGCTATTTTTGGCAATGTACTAAGATTAATGCCTTTCATTATAAAATATGTAGTTACCTCCACAGAATGAAGCGATGTAGGTGCCTATATAACAAGCTTCCATGCTTTCTGATATGATATGAAGTGTTGCGTTTGTGTTATGTCACATGTTATAAATAAAAAGCTTTTGTAACACATCTATGGTCATTTCGAGGCTGTAAACTGTCTATTTAACATATTTATACCAAACTGCAGCAGCTTTGAAAATGAATTATACTAATCAATAAATCCTACGGGACAAAAATTAAATACGTTATGCAAAAAATTTTGAATTCAATGGTTTTAAATGGCGGGCACTAGCCATTTTTAGATTTTCTCCACTACTGAGGCAGATGTGGTGGTCATTTTATAATAGAGGTATCTAATAGACGGCCACCGTTACCTCCTATGAAGAGACACACAATTTACATACATCCTTTGTCCGATATTCGAACCCAGTGGCGGCTCGTGGATAAAATTAGTGGGAGTGCTGTTCGAAAAAAATTTAACCTTTGTTTTAAAATTGTGTAAAAGGAATATAAAAAGAAAATTTATTTTGAAACTTCATGAAATCTTACAAGGAAAAAATTAAACATTTCTTAATTACTTTAACCAAAATTGTTACAGTTCAATCTTTGTCTATTCATTTAGAAATGACATCCTCTTGTTTTAATTTGCGCGAAAAGATCAATAATTTTCTCTTTGATCACTGGATAACAGCTGAGGAAATTTTTCTTTAAGCGCATTTAGTCTCTCTGAATTCCTAGTGCTTCTTAGAAAATGTTTCATTCTTTTCAATATTGAAAAGCAGCGTTCCGCCTCTGATGTAGTCATGGGAACTCTCAGGAGAATTTTTATCAGTTTCGTAATTTCACTAAGAACATCATCTAGATTATTTTCGAAGATACATTTCAGTAGCTCAATTAATTTTTAGTATTTATGGGTATCAGACCTATAACAGAATACTTTTAGTTCAGTTTCAAGCTTTAATTTGTCAATCACTGGATATGCTTCAGAGATCAGTACTATTTCTTCTGTAGAATGTTTATTCCGAAGCATTTCTTGTTAAACAACTTAGCAGCTGCTAAGTGTTTAGTGGAAGAATATCTGTGAATTATATCAATACATAGTATAAAGTCACATATTTCCTTAGCTTCTGCCATCAATGTCTTTGAAAAATTCTCGCAATTCTTTGAGTTTCTTAAATCTAAAATAGCAGTTTTAAAATTTGTTATATATTCATTAACTTTAAAGACACTAATTTCTATGGATTGCATTTAGTTGTATGTTATTTCAACATGAGGCATCTGATAAAAAAGCTCTAACCAAAACTTGAAATTATCATCATTTAGGTATTTTAAAATTCCTCTTGCTTTTGCAATAGTTTGATCTGCATTTGATGTTGAGTGAATTTCAGTAAGGCAATTTTTTAAAAGCTGCAAATTTTCATGAACTCTGTTTATGATCCATATGATGAAGTTCCACTTTGTGAAGGAATACCACACGCGCGGAGTAAAAAGAAATCACGTTTTCAACAACATGCCACAATTTCGGCACTGCAAAAGCGATAGTGCTTTTCTCTCTACCCGGCCGCCACCATCGAGATAGATCTTATACAGACCATCGAGGAACTTATTGTATTTCTTTAATTAAAAAAATGCTATTAAACTTTGTTTGAAACTTAATTAAAAATTTAAATATCTTGTACAAATGACGGCGTAGTTTTATTATTTCAGGTGGCAGTTCTGTCTCAAATTGGTGAGGGAAGGACCCACATTAGGATCTTATCTTAAATCCAGTAAAACCTTTTATAAGATTTCTTTTAAATTCTCTTTATGAAAGCACAAAGAATAATAAATACAAGAATTAAAATATAAATGCTTAGATTTATTTAAATAAATTTAGTGGTTAATTAGATTTTTTTCGAAGCTTCTGTTTTCAGCAAAATATTTCATCTTTCGGCTTAAATAAATAATTAAATTTCCATTCTCCACCATTTCTTTCTAAACATTTCATAAATCTGTAGTTTCAGTTTTTTTCGGAGGAACGGAACTGAATATCACTTCTGCAATCATCATTGAGTTTTGAATTTGCGCAATTCCTATTCTTATTGATGATAAGAGGCTTCTTCATTTTCGCGAAATTCGATTAAGAGAGCCGTTAAGTGCATTTAAAAAATGATTTTCTGACTACATTTTGGTCGAGATAAAACTCTGCCATCCACATATTTTTAAATTGCAAAACGTTTGCTTGATAATGTGTTATTTATTCTCTAGAAAATATTCGCTATCTTTACAAATGAGAGTAAAGGATATAGAAATCAGCAGTGGTTAATTTCAGACTTAAGAGGATTTACGATTAAATTTCAAAGTACTTTTTAAATGCTTGGATTTGAACTCATTTTATAAATGCAGATTTAAATCTGCTTTCTTATTTTTCTGCTGATTTCATGTGCTGCAAAAATGTGAGTTAAAAGCCTTTCCTTTTGGTGTACGTTTATATGTACGCGACATTTGGTACTAGCACATGTACACGCTTCAGATGTCGTTAGCTAACGAATCAACAATAATGCTAATATCACAGAAGAAGATCACATTCTCTTGTAGTTAACCATATTAAAAACTGTTAGAGTTGTTTTTGTTGCCAGAGTTGAATAAGAAAAGCAACTTTTAGCACGGAAAAGCAGTTGTTTCTGGAACAAACTGAGAATTAATATCAAGAATTTTACATGACATGAGTGCTAAAGATTTATTGATATCATGAGGAGGTTTCCCGATCACCAAATGTATTTCTATATGTGTATGTATAAATGTATTTCTATATATTTTTGTAATAAAAAAATTCCATAGTCAAGAATACACTTAAAATTCTAACTGTATGTTCTTTTCATTTTTAATGGCGACGTTCTCTTATTTGAAAGTACGTGGAATTAAATCCACAGCCCCGT